CACACACACACACACACACACACACACACACACACACACACACACACATGCACACCAACATCGTATCTGTCTAAACAGCTGCACAAACACTAACAACCCTAGCCCCCGGTGTTGCTAAATAAGAAATGAGAAAAAACAGGACATTTCTTCCATATTAATCATTTCAATACCCTTCCTTTTGGAATACAGCATTGTAGAGGGGGGAAAAACACACACCGCACAAACGCACGTCCGGGAGAAAGCGTGAGGTTCGGTCGGCTGTGTGAAAGGCCAATCCCCCACCCACCCCCCCCCCCCCCCGGAAAGCGACGGCGCGATTAACATGCATGCGGCCGCTTCGGCTACGGCGCTGGGAGCTGGCATGGCGGCGGCCCTCTTCAAGGTGAGAGAATGAAGGATGAAGGAATTAGGAGGCAGGGTGACTTTGAGGAGACGCAATGGGCCGCGGGCCAGGAGCGACCTGCAGGGCCAGGGGCCTGCAGGAGACGGAGGATTAGAGCGGCCCGGTACCGAAGACCAGCCGCCTGAGAGCCGCTCTGCCAGCGAGGCGCTGGGAGGGAAGGCTGCAACCGGTCCGCCTTGACTAGGCGATGACGGCACCACCCGATGGATACAGGTATTTGTTCTCCCGGTGAGGACCGGGCAACGAAAGGCCCACGGGGCAGGGTGTGTGCCCCGAGAGGCCAAGGCAAGAACCTGACAAGAACCTGATCATCCCCCCGCTGCGGAGCATGGAGGTGTTTATTTCCCAGGGTCTGGATGGGAGTTCCAGCAGAGCCTGAGCCGAAGCCCCGAGGGAGCAGACACAGAGATGTGGGTCGGGAGCAACGTGTCCGCAATGACACCCTGAACCAGGGTTACAGGGAGCCGATCCACAAAGCTACATGCCCAAGGCAGGGAATAACCCAGGAAGGGGCAGCGACCCATCGCAGACACCAAAACATATTAACGATAAAAACTACCTGAAATGTGACAAAAACAATGCGCAGTTTGGAATATCGCACACGTCACACTCCGATTTTCTAACTTCAGTCTAGGATCAGAAAAAAAAAAATGCGGCGGTGCATTCACTTAACACTGCGGCACAATCGCAGTGTCACTGGAAATGCACCTTGCAGAAGGCAGTCGACAGAGTGTTTTTTTTTTTTTTTTTTA